GTCAGCAGCAGGGCTGTTTTAAGAGACAAGGATTTAATTGGAACCTGATCCAGAGGCTCAAATGGAGCTTTGATCAGGGCCTGCAGGACCAGCGTTAAATCCCACTGTGGAACAAGTGGGCGTGAATCAGGCCTGCGTCTCTGTACACCTTTTAGAAAACGCTTCATCAGCGGATGATTAAAAGCTGTTCTGTCTCCGAACCCTTCGTGACAGGAAGAGATGGCTGCAGCATATGTTTTAATTGTGCTGAACGACAAGTTCCTGTCCGTCAGCTGTTGTAGAAAGGACAGCATGCCACCTAGTGGACATGGGGTCGCCTCTACACCCTTCTCTGTACTGCAGCGCTGAGAAGCTGTCCACTTTGATGTGTATAGCGCTGTGGTAGATGCAGCACGTGAAACCTGAATTGTGCGCACAACATCCTGTGGGAGACCCATCCTCTCTAAGTGGATCCGCTCAGCGACCAGACCCACAAGTGCTGGCCTATTTCTGAGTAACTCCTGATCGCTCCTCCTGCCTGGAGTGTGACGTGGGTCTGCTGACAGGGACTCCCTCCGACAGAACCAGGGTGTTTCCCCAGTGTCGGAGTTCTGCCCTAACGGAGGGAGGAACAGTGATCATCCATCTATTTTTGGTTTACTGGATCCACACGCAGACGCGCAAACCACCTCTGGAGGCGTCTCATGTGGAGTAAACCCAGCGGAACCACTGTGTGAGCTGACGACATCATCCCTAACAGCTTCATGATGGAAACAGCTGTTATCACTCTGCCAGGTCTTACGTGGCGGGGCTGGTCTTCCAGAGTGTCGATTCTCGTTTGTGATAAACGAGCCCTCATGGTGGTTGAGTTTAGCTCCACTCCCAGATAAACAATTGTCTGGGCCGGGAGAATCGAACTTTTCTTCCAATTTATAGCAAAGCCTCAGATTTTACAGGTGTGATGTCAGCGCCTGGACCTTTCCCGCTGCTTCCTGTCTGGAACGTGACAGCAGCAGCAGGTCGTCCAGGTAAAACAAAACTCTCATCCCTGCTCTGTTTAACGGTTGCAGGGCCGTCTCTACACACTTTGAGAATGTACGAGGTGCGAGGAATAACCGAACGGCAGCCTGTTGTACTGATACTTCATCCCTTGAAAGGAGAAACGTAGGAAGTTTCTGTGTTTTGGGATGATCGGTATGTGAAAATAAGCATCTTTCAGGTCGCCGGAAAACAAACCAATCGTTTCTTTGGATGTTGTCCAACAGCTGTCTGGTTGTCAACATGTGAAACGATCTGTCCATGATCGCCTTGTTGAAAACTGACAGATCCAAAATGGGTCTCATCCCTCCGGTCCGTTTGGGAACCAGGAAGTGACGTGAGTAAAAAAACCTTGTGTTTTCTTCTCCGTTGGGAACTCTGGAGATTACTTCTTTTACCAGAAGTTCTTGGACTTCTACATTTAGGAACAAACAGAGGGGTCGGGTTGCAAATTGCAACATGTAACCCTAGCTTAACAACCTGGCCATCCATCTGTCTGGTGAGCATGTTTTTAGCCACTCCGCGTAACGTTTGTGGAATGGACGTGCGTTTAAGTGATGCGTCATGTTTTGTACGGATGTCATCCAGTCCACCGCCTCGACCGTCATCATGTGTCGCGGGAATGTGTTCCGTGAGACCCAAGGCGAGGCTTCTCGAAAAGGCTCTGAACGCGCCTGTGTCCTGCGTTCGGACCGCGGGTCCACCTTGTGTTGAGGAGAAGCGTGTGACAGCTGATGACGCTGCTGGCCCCCCGCATTTGATGCCACTGCGGTGAAAACTCGTGTCGCTCCTGCCGCGAGCGGGGTCCTGCGCTGGGCTCTCTTTGCGGCCCCGCATTTAAGCTGACGGGCGCTGAGAAGCGGTGAACGCGACTTCATCTACGCCGTGCTGTTTGAGTGAAGGCTGCGAGCCCTGTGGGAGCTCGCATCTCCTTTGGTGGGACGCGCGCCTCTCTCGCTGGGGCGAGATTGGTCACTGGGTTCGCTCAGCTGTCTCACGTTAATGCTGACGTGAGCGGCCGAGCGCTGAGGAGTGGTGAGTGAAGACTGCCCCGGCGGCAGCGGCACGCATTTGCTTTAGTGCGGCACGTGTCGCTCTCGCTGAGAGCAAGGTCCTCCACTGACCCGACCTGCGGTCCCACATTTATGCCGCTGTGAGCCGGTGAGCGCCGGGGAGCTGTGTGTGCACCATCATCAACGCAACGCCGTTTGGGTGAAGGCTGTTTGTGTCACGCGAGTGTGCGTTTGACATCGCTTGGGTAAAGATCGTGCAGCTCACGTTGACTACGAGTTGTTTCGCTTACCACTGTTGTGTTCTGTGAGCGTCTTGTCATGTCTGGAGCAGCGGTGAGTTTGAAAACCCTTTCTTTAAGGACACCGGCTCGTTTTTGTGGAAGATGTGCGCGCAGCCACTGTGAGTTCATAAAAGCTTACAGACTGGCTAAACACAGACACTTGATCACTGAATGAAGATTTATTCAACATTGTGTCATCTTTACACACACCCTCCGCAGATGTCATTTTGAATCTTTTTCCCCATGAGCTCTGGGATTTGTTGGCCCAGGGCGCCATCTGCTGGGGATCTCTGGGAAAACGTTGGACACTCTGTTGCCGGGATGAAAAGGGCCGGTCTCTGACGGCGGGGCTGCAGTGAAGCTCAGCGAGACGGCCGTGGAACGTCTTGCCACCGGCTCATTTTGAGTGGAGGATGTGAGAGGGAGCCGCTGTCAAGTCATCCGAGCTGACAGACTGGCTAAAAATAGACACTTTCATCATTAAATGATTTTACTCCAAACTCGTGTCACCTCCACACACATCCTCCACCAAAACCATCATTTGCTCTGCCATTTGTTGTCCTAGAGCACCATCTGTTGGCTGTCTTAGGGAAACGCTGAAAACTCCGTCCTCCGGCTGCGATGTGGGCCAGCAGACAGCAAAAGAGGCACACCGGTTGGGGATGACGTCAGCTGCCCTGAAGACGGAGCGTACGTCTCCTCCCGCCTCTGAACGTGTAAGCCAACAGCGTAACGTGTTGTTCGCTGCGGCCGTCTGGAATGCATGCTGGTGAGCTCAGTTGGAGAGCAGTGTCACCGTCTGGGTTACGCTAACCGGAGGCGCGGGACGCTGGTCCACCTGGACATCTTGCTCCGATGAAGCCTCCGTCAGGCTTGGCTCCAGGGGGCACTGAGGGAATTTCCACTCGGTGAAACCCCTGCTCTGGAGATGGGCGCGGACTGTGGAGATCAGCCCCCCAATCTACCAGGAAAGCCGGCTGCGGCCTCGTCCCTGTAGGACGTCCTGTTGGGAAACCGAGGCCAGATGGGATCAGGACGGCGACCCGGAATGGAGCCAAGAAAAAAACCCTCCCGTCAGATCATCCGAACTGGTGGGAAAGGCGCGGGACGTAAAAAAGTGACCCTTAATGTCAGCAGCCTCCTGGATTACGCCGGGCAACCCCAGAGGGCGCCGTTGGCTGGGAGCGGTGTGATCGCCGATGCGAAAAGAGGTGGGATGAGGTGAGCATTCGCTCAGCCCCCCCTCCACCGACACTACGTTCTCCAGGAGGGAATGAGCAGTGGGGGGCTGCAGCTGACGCGCCTGTCCCAGAGGAACCATCCGATTCGCTCCGAGGGTCGTCGATAAGAGGAAAATTGCAAGATGGCGTTGTCCAGCGTGTAGCGACCTGTCACTGAGAAATACTTCTCGGCGCTTACCTTGAAACAAGACTGCTCGTTGGCTTCTCCTCGGGGAGGAGAGCTGGCCTGAGAAGGTTGACCTGACGGGCCAAGCATTCTTAACAAAGGTTGGTCATCTACACAACTTTCCTTCTTCGTTCTTCTGACAGTGCTATTAGCTCGCTGAAGAAAAATGGGAGCCGATTAACCGCTCTTAACGTAATTTATACGGCCCGGGTGGGGCCCACACAGCAGGTGGGCGTGGACTAAATTTTTCAGTGAAATGCTCCGCATATCGGGACAAAACCCATCAGCGACAGCCTTAAAGGGCGAAGCCTATATGAAATAGAACTACTGGTTCACCTTCGAATCCAGTTCAATTTATGTTTTTAAATCACTGAACAGTTCTGCCCCCTCTTATCTCACTGATCTGCTGCAGCCATATGTCCCACAGTGCTCTCTGAGGCCAGCAGATAAGACACTTCCAGTTCTTAAGCTCAGAGGTGACAGGACCTTCTCAGTTACAGGTCCAAGACTGTGGAATGAGTTACCACTACATGTCAGGCAGGCCCCTTCTCTCACTGTTTTTAAGTCTTACTTAAAAACACACTTTTATTCCCTGGCCTTTAATACAGTGTAATTTATTCTTAACCGGTCTGTGTATTCTATAATGTTAACCATTTAGTTATTTTCTTTTTTCATTCATATTTTATATTTTTATTTTACTTTATTTTATGTTTTACTGTGTGCTTTGCTTGTTTGTTACTGCTGTACATCACTTTGGTTGGCCTTGTTGCTGTTTCTCTATAAATAAAGTGGTATGGGATAACATTTTTTTTTAAGGTTTAATCAGAGCCCTATAAAGAGAAAACCTCTATAACTGTTATCTGTCAGCATCTTAATTTAAAACTCTGGTAATAAAGGTGACGGTCGATACGCATTCCTGTAAGGAATGCTAGGCCCTTTACAATATTATTATTTTTTAAGTGTACTGTTGTCATTTTAAAACTTGGATTATTTTTTATTTTTTTTGCCCCTGACGTCAATTTTTATTTTATTTTTTTTTGGCGTAACGAGGTTTCTTGGACTCGAACTTGCCCCGCCCATATCCTGCAGTACCAGCAGTTTAGCACTAGAGGGAGGCAGAACTTGGCTGCGCCGAACACAGACTTTAAAATAACTATCCATGGCGCAGAGTCAGGATATAGTTTAATGCGCAGCGAACCCCACTCTGTCCTCCACGTAGATTTTTGTGTAAATTCAATTTATTATTACTTTGTTTCTAACACTGACTCGGTTACTGCAGAGTTAACCTGGTGGGAACGATGTCGTGAAGGAAGTGGGCTGCCGCGTCCCACACGTCGGAGGCGTTTCCGGTCAAAGTTTCCTTTGTGATTCTGAAGTGGCAGCGGGATGTAGGAGCGTCCATCCTCGGACACAACATATAATTGGCAACAGTGATACGTAAGCATGGATATGTGTATTATAGAGGCTGGTTCTGATCAAAAGACTCGTGTGTAGAGACAGAAAGCCGTAACGCGTTTAGCTGTTAGCCAAGCTGCTAACAGGGTTGTTTGCACTGAGGCTCAGAAGATTTTAGCTGTCCGAGCGATGAGTATTAAAATGGTAGAGCTGTTGATTTAATGTAATGCATGTGCGACTTTAAGCTGCAGCCTGACTTCCCGTGTTTGTTAAAATTTGCGAGGTCAAAGCTAACAATAGCTAGCTTAGCTAGTGTTTTGGACAGTGACAGCTGCAGGTTGCGGACACATGATGACATTAGAGGCCTCCTGAAGCAGCCAGCACCACCAGTTGGCAAGTTTTATTTTTTACAACCACTAGGTTCACAACAAGGCCTGTTTTTCAGTTGGGACGTGCCCAGCTGCTGGCTGCATCACAGATCCGCATTCTGCTCTCTATCAGTCTGTCAGTGGCAAACATTTGACTTTCTCATGTTTTCCTTCAACAGATCTGACATGGCAGCTCTCCCCTTAAGCGTGTGGTAACTCTGGTGAGCAGCAAGCTTTTTAATTCAGTTTACTTTTATTTATATAGCGCCAAGCCGCACAACAGAAGTTATCTCAGGGCACTGCACAGAAACATTAAAAGTCCATTAGTAACATTATTTATCTGAGGTAGGGTAGCCAGCAGATCGGAACATGTCTGATGCTTAATTCAGCCACACACCAATGGAAGGAAGTCGGCACTTCATTTATTTTTCAAGTTGTCATGCTCACAACACATTCAATATTCAAAATTAATTCAAAAGAGCATTGGGAACAATAAATACAGTATTATTAATCTAAAAGCAATTATTGTAGTTCCTCGATTATCGGGGGGTTACGTTCCACACACCACATCAATATGTGAAAAACTGCGAAGTAGGAACACTATATTTTTATTTTAGTATTTATATATATTTTAAGGCTTTATAAACCCTTCCCTCTTACAATGTTCTAAACTCTTAAACCTACAAAATTTTAACAACACACAGTACTGCAAAATTTTATATGGGTACTCGCCAGTGAAGGTACTACTACAACTAGGCCTGTTGCAGTAAAAATAAACCAATCGCATGATAAATGAAAATGATCAATCTCATTTTCATTTATCAGCTTTATCATGTCTCTTTCTACTGAAGACACTGGATGACAAAAAGCTCAACTCCGGTGCTCTTCACTGACACCTCCCTTTTTTAAAAACATGTTTTAACGAACCAAAATCCTGTTTTTGGATCGTTAAAAGCAGCTAAGCTAAGAAGCTAAGCTACAAGCTAAGTTATCAGGCCGACCTAAAAAAAAAAACCTCCGTCTTGTCAAAGCTCCAAAATTCACAGTTGAAACCCGTGTCTTTGTCTAAAAAGTTGTTTTTCTCTGCAAAAAGAAGCTGAGAACTTGTTTACTGATTTTTTTTATTAAAAGCTTTGAGTGAAAAATATTATGCTAAAGAGCTCAAACCATACCGAGTGGCCGCCATTTTGATAACTGAATAAAGGAAGGAGAGACAGCTCATGTCATTCCCTCCCATTTTTCTTAGAGACACACTGCTCACTCCCTCACTTTTCATCCTTTGGTTCAAACAGTCTTATACAGCCATCCGGTGGTCGAAAAATGGTACTACACTCAAAACCAATTAACCAACATTTCTTCTTGAAGTTGACAATAATTACTAATTATTTGCTTCAGGATAATTTGAGACTTTCCTGCCAGTTCTGTAGCTTTATAGATTGTTACTTCTGACTTTGCGTTGCAAAACAATTTTTTTTTACCACATCAGTTTCTCTGCTACTGTTTGCTCCCTCCATTGCTGTTCTTTTAATTTTGGCAGAAAGCAGCGTCCGGAAGAACTGTTGGCGTCTGAGCTGTGTAGTTCTTTAGACTTGTGTTACAGTATAGGCTTATTGAAAGAAAACTACAAAATGGCGGCGCCTGGCCAAAGTATTTTTGTTTTTTTGTCCTACTGATTGTTCCCGCTCCCGTTAACTTTTTATCCCGTACCGTCTCAATCACGTGAGTAATATTAAAGTTGACAATCGTGCATCATGTACAATCTTGCATTGAAAATGCGAAAGAGCGACTCCGTGAATGTCGAATCATGAAGTATCGAGGGGCTACTGTACTGTGATCTTAATCCCATGTAGATCTGAAATGTGCAGATATTTTCTGACAAACTACAAACTCTTGAAACTGACTCTGCCAGAGAAAATATTGAGAGGATCTTGTAACAAAAAGTGCAAAAGTTAAACGGAGGCACACCCTTGCTATAATCTCAAGTAAGCAAATCTTTTAGTGTCAGTATTGTTTAATTCCAAGAACTAAAGCAGCAAAAACTGCATGTCACATCAGGAGAGACACTGACACTGTGTGTGTCTGTACACTAACGATGGTGCTCTGGACACATTAGCATTAAATACAGGGTTTAATTTTAGATACAAAAGTCCCAGGGATGATGGTGGTATGGTTCATGTTGAAGTGGTGGGTGGGTAGCACACCCCCTTGGTGCAACTGATTACCTTTTGATGGCAACCCAATTTGAGATGGCCATCAATCATTTCATACCATTTTATTTATAAAGCACTTAAAACAGCAACAAGGCCAACCAAAGTGCTGAACAACAAAAAAATACATAGATTCAAATAACTGAAGATAAGAACTAAATGACTAACACCAGCATACCAGTGCCAGCATACCCAACCATTATACAAGCAGGGTGCACCGCCCTGTCAACAGAACCAAATCCCCCGCCCCCCCGTCCACAACTGCCGGCACTGACGTAGTGCTAAGCTAGCAGCGCACGATACAGAAGCGCTTATCATTGCATGATCTGTTCCGGAAGCACGATCCGTACCGTCAGCTCATCTGCGCATGCGCTAAAAGGAATACTTCCGGGTCGCATGGATCGCCGTTGTTTATGAATAAGAACCGTCTTAATTTACTTAGAAAAGTGCGTGCTCTTTCTCCATCGATCTTCACGTTGCTAATTTACACCACTCGTATTTTCGTTAAAATCATTGACATATTTACGTCATGGTTAAAATGATATGCAATGCATGTTTTGGGTGATGTAGCACAGCTTCACCACTGAGCGGAGCTGTTTCACCATGGAAATAATTTATTCTGTATCTTGCAGGGTGAATTATAATTTTAATAATAATAATAATAATGTGTTATGTATTGTCATCATTGTATGTTTCCATACAATGGCAAAATTGGTTTTCTGCGTTTAACCCATCCACCACCAGGTGAAGCAGTGGGCAGCTATGGAAAGAGCCCGTGGAGCAACTAGGGATAAGGTGTCCTGCTCAGAGACACCACAAGATGTGCAATGATCGGGGATCAAACCTGGGACTTTTGGGTCCCGAGTCGACTGCCCTGCCCCTACACCATCTCAGCTAATTTTCAAAGTAAATTAAGACATTTCTTATTCATAAAAGGAATTATAACGTTGTCTAGGAAAATGAATCAATTTATAGAAAGATATATTTTAATTAATATGAATAAATATTGTATGTTTCATAAATATGTTTTAATAATATCAGATATGTGTTTTATTAAATCAGTTTACACAATATAATTTAGCACACCTTTTTTAATTAAGGCTGTAAGTAATTATTTCCAGTACATTTTCTTTAATTGAGCATATTCAACGGTGACCCGTGCGACCTGGAAGTCCTCCTTTCAGCACATGCGCAAATGAGCTGCGGTACGGATCGTGCTTCCGGATCAAATCGTGCAGTGACAGTGCTAGCTAAAAAGCTATGTAGCGCTCTGCTTCCCTCACGCTGAGCCACACAGACCTCCCGACTGCTTGAAAACTGTTGGTACAAACACAGATGTGTCTCGGTCTCCGACTCCCCCCGCCATCCCTCCGTGGACAAAAATCACGGAACAGATGAGCGCCCTGCCAGGGCAGGTAAAATAGGAGAAACACTGCATAGCCTACAAAACAGGGCTACAATTCAGTCATAATGTTTATTTCTTAACAGATTTGCCCATTGTATACAACGCTATAATTTCTCAGTATGAGGTTAATTTAAAACGGTGATATGAGTTCCTTCAAGGATTCATTTAGTGTAGCTCGGAGCCAAATCCTATACCTGTGAGCCGGCAGCTGAGAGGCTTCTGTGTTTTTCCTGTTTCATATTCAAAGAATCAGATGTGCTGGGGGAGTGTTCATTACATTGTGTACCAGTTATCTAGTTACACATTTCTTCGAGGCTAGTGTGGGCGTGTGCGGAGGAATGTGGGTCTTTTTCTTTAATGCTCTGCACCAGAACGTGTCCACACAGCAGCCATGTGTTTGGGTAAGGCAGCCATTGTTGCTGTCAGTAACAACTGTAAATAGCAAGTTAATTTATTGCTCATTAGGCTCTAAGTTGATATGAAGCCACTCACAGTTTGTCATTCTTTCTGGTCAGATAAACATCTTAAAGTGACGCAGTCACAAGATCACATGGTGATTTCAGGATGCCAGTGCTCACATTATCTCACCAGCTCATCCAGTAGATGTTTAACTAACAGTGGGTCAAACCTCTTGTTCATTTGTCTTCAAAAGTGCTTCTGTCTCTAATCAGTATTTTTTTTTAGAATTTTATTATAGGATGAATGAATTTCACTAGTATGTTTTACTCTGTAGATTTGTTGACTGGTTTGTTTTTTATCTGTTAAGTTGCTTTGGCTTTCAAGGCTGGGTTCATCTTTAAGATTTGAGTTTAACATGTATAAAAAGACAGTTCACGTTGAGTTGTTCTTCTCAGTATGATGGATAAACAGTCAGATTGGCAGAAGGATTGTCTGAAGGCTTCAGCTTTAAGGTTTCAGAGCTCTCATGCACAGACTTGTGTATTTTCTAGTAAAACAGAGCACAGAAACGTGCAGATGTATAAAATGATATTATTCCAAGCACAGTTCTTTTGTACATCTTGATCAATGTTGAACTGACTTCTCTGACATGCTCACATTTAAATATGCAAATATGTCCAGTATGTGTGATCCTCGTCTCTTCACACTCACCATTGTGTTGAAAGAAGAGGAACCTTGCAGAACGTGGGCTTGAAAAGCCCTGAAGTGATGTCCAGAAAAGCCCTGAAGTGATGTCCAGAAGTGAACACTGTCCTTTGGCTATAGTACTGAGGACAAGAGGACTAGATGACCTGTCAATCGCAGGGTGAGCTGGTGGAGGAGGCTAATCCATGTGTTTACTGATATTACTGCCAGCTCTGAAACTGTAGTTTAACCTGCAAAAACAGGAAGTCACTAACTTAAATCACTGACTAGTAATAAAGCTGTGACGAGGGTGTGGGGGCTGGAGTGCAGCAGGAAAGCAGCTGACCTGGGACCAGAACGTCTCGGCCTCCATGCCCACATGTTGTGGTGTCCTTGAGCAAGACACCTAATCCCTAACTGCTCCCTGGGCGCCTACATATTTCCTCCACCTGGGTGTATCTCAAGTGTGATGGGTTAGATGCAGAGAACTGATGTCATCATTGTATGGAAACACACAATGATGACAACACGGTTCATTTTCAGGCTGCACGGCTCGTTGTGCATCAGGGTAATTAGGAAAGATAACAATAACTAGAGAAATAGCATTTCCTGTGAAAATGAAGTGTGAATGCTTATTGCTGAAGAACTTGCTGAGACACAGCTGAAATTAGCTAAAATGGAAGAACAAGCCTAAATTAGCAGAAAAACGCAGAACAAACACATTTTTGCTGAATTTGGTTTAAATAAACAGAAATGCGCACAAAAATTAGCTTCAGACTAAACCTTCAGAACTTCACCACATGGAGACTGAGCAGATAAAGACAAGGATTTGGAGTTTTTTTTTATTTTTATTTTTTATAAACTAACGAAAGCCCAAAGATCAGAAACAATTATTGAAGGTCTGCATCAAGAGCAACGTCTTCACTGGCTAACTGCATAAGAGTTCTATTAAATAAAAGATCAAATAAATCACTAAATAATTATAGTAGAAATAATAACATTTTTGAATCCTCTGGACAGATAAAAAAAAAAAAAAAAACTCCGATGAGACTTGATCCACTGTGAGAAGGAGCTATTTATAAGACTGAGTTTGTTGCAGCTCCTCAGACTGAAGAAGTCCTTTTGGATAAAAGACAAAACTTTTCAACAATTTTTTTAATTTTTTGAGTCCGTCCAGAAGACCTGACTTAACTTTGTTAGATTTTTCTACCTGCATTATTGAGCAGCATAAAATAATATTTAAACTGGGAAGTGGTGGCGCAGAGGTTAGAGAAGGTGGCTCTGTGATCAAAATGTCGCCAGTTCAACTCCCTGGACTGACAACATGAAAATGTGGGTAGGAAAGGTGAAGCACCCACACCTGTCTCAACCCTAATTTGTCCCACTCTGTGCCCTTGAGCAAGGCCTTGAACCCACCATCTGCTCCCCCGGATGCCCTAGCTAGCAACTCTCTGCTCCACACAGAGAGCTGTGGTAGCTCGGTGGTCTGTGGTTGTGTCAGGAAGGACATCTGGTGTAAAAACAATGACCAAGTCTTCATGTGAGTAAGGATGCATTCACACCAGCCCTGTTTAGTCCGTTTTAATTGAACTCTAGCTCGTTTTCCTAGAAAGTCCGGTTCGTTTAGGGAGGCGTGAATGCGCCATCTAACTGTCACGGAACAAAAAGGCCGAACTCTGGCCCGGGCTAAAACCTAGGTCTCGGTCCGGTAGAAGCGAACTCCAGCACGGTTCGAGTACAGTGTGAATGCAAACAGACCGAGCCCCACTCCGCAGGGTAAACAAACACGCATTGCTCTTACCTTATATGGAGCCGTCAGCTGCCTTGTGTGGAAAAACAATATTCTCCATGGTCTTCTGTCTCATCTTCTGCTCATGTTAAGTCCATTTTTGAAAAATGACAAAATATAACTCCTAAAACTGCTAAAACTTGATGCCACTTCGTTTTTATTTTTATTTACAGAAGAAGAAGAAGATGTGTCTTCAGAGGTTTTTGTGTCGTTTCTTTCAGTAGTTCTTGGTGCAGCGCCCCCACAGGCGAGCGGGGGAATAGGTTGGTTCAACAGGTTGTCTCGACTGCACAGTGCAGTGTGAATGCAAACGCACCAGCTCAAATGTAAACAAAAGGTCATGAATATTGGTCCCAAACCGAGTCTACCGGACTATCTGGTGTGAAAACGACCTTAGTTCACTGTGGTGACCCCTGAAGGAGCAGCTGAAAAAATAAATAAATAAAAATATTTAAATTATAGATGCAACTATTAAATTATATATACTGCACTTTGTTGTGTTCTAAGTGACCTCCCCTCACACTGGCACCCCTGCTGCTGGGCTGTAGAAAAATGGTCTTACATTTTTTCATGTCCGTGGTGCAAAAATTGACTCATCAGTTCATCATATATTGAGCCACAGTGCCAGCTCACCTTTTTACATGTTGATTGTTTTGTTAGGTAGGCTAGTGCATGTTTTACCACCTGGTGCTTTAGAAACCTCCACTGGCGCTCGTCACAGAGCTGTCTACTACAGGTAAACTGGTAAATGATGGACTTTTTGCAGAACCCCTACCAAAAAACTGAACTGTCCCTTTAACTATAATGTTGGTTTACACCTCAGTGAAGAACAGAGTTGGGGTCACATCAGAATGAACACTTCTGCGTACCCTGGTCTTTTTTCTTTAAATCTCACTTTAAATGTTCACCTGTATGCTCTAATTGCAGGTCACTCTGTTACCATGGCAGCAGTTGACTTACTCAAGGTGAACGAGCCAAACCCCAGCACTATGAAAGTTAGTGGGTGCTCTGGCTCAGCCCCGAGCCCTCAGAGCGAGGCGGTGACCAACGAGCTTCAGGAACTCTCACTTCAGCCAGCTCCAAACGTTCTGCCTCTGCAGGAGCGCAAGAATGGTAAGACCAGCACCATCAGACGTTCTGTCCCTTCTTCATGACTGTTTGACTTTTGATCATGTTGAACGAGACATTTGTCATTCAGCAGGAGCACACCAGCACCTTGTGTCTTTAACTGCAGTGCCTTTCAAACATCCTCAGTACAATGTTGATGTTACTGGTTTGAAAGGAGTTCCATATAATACTTAGTTTACATGTTGAGGATGAAATTACTATTTTTGACATGAACACAAAGTAATACACTCTGTAGCTGCATTCTAACATCCTTCTACCAATACACCCACTGTCCCTCTTCTGGACATGTCCAAACCACTGTCCTTCCTCTGTACATGTCCAAACCATCTCAGTCTGGTCTCTCTAACGTTATCTCCCAGTTGTTCAACCTGTGCTGTACCTCTGATGATCTCATTCCTAATCTTATCCAGTCTTGTCACTCCTAAGTAGAACCTCAACATCTTCATTTCTGCCACTTCCAGTTCTGTCTCCTGTCTTTTTGTGAACAACACTGTCTCCAGACCACACCATCACACCTGAAAGTTTTCTCCACCCACTCCATCCTGCTTGGACTCTCTTCATCTCTTTACCACGGCGGCTGTGGCTGAGTGGTTAGAGCAGTCGTCCTCCAATGCAAAAGTTGGGGTTTCGAATCCACCAGCAGTAACATGCCGAAGTGTCCCTGGGCAAGACACTGAACCCCTCCCTCATTGCCTCTGATGTGTGTCCCATCGGTGTGTGACTGTGATAGAGCTCTGATTAGACTCTTTAGAATGATTTGTTCAATTAGCTTTCTAGAGATCTAGTAGAGTGCTGTATAAATGGGTAAATGAGGGCACAGATTGTAATGTAAAGCGCTTTGAGTATCTTGATCAAATAAAGGTGCTATATAAGTACAGTCCATTTACCATTTACCACACTCCCTGTTTGCCTGGACAGTTGACTTTTAAGTACTTGAAGTGTGGATTAAAGTTCTCCGTCGCCCTGATAGATTTCTTTCATTTGTAAAAATGAGAAGAGGGGAAAAAAAGCATATTTTTCTTATTAAAGCCATTCAATCTAATGATATGTGAATTAAACTGGTGCTGCCTTCAACAAATAAAGTGAACCAGAACTATAGTTTTAACCAATTAGAGTAGAAGGCATTAGACAGCATGACCCAAAGCTTTCTGATGAATGATGTGTGGTCAGTGACAGACGGCAGGCACTAGTCGTTCTACACTTCCTGTCCTGACCCAGCAGCAGCTCAGCTGTGAGCACCTCTCTGTACTAAAGCGCTAACCCAGCTTTGAAGAAATAAAGTTAAAGTAGGTATGTTTTACTCCTTGTACAAACCGGATTCCAAAAAAGTTGGGACACTAAACAAATTGTGAATAAAAACTGAATGCAATGATGTGGAGATGGCAAATGTCAAAATTTTATTCGTAATATAACATAGATGACAGATCAAAAGTTTAATGTGAGTAAATGTAACATTTTAAAGGAAAAATATGTTGATTCAAAATTTCACAGTGTCAACAAATCCCAAAAAAGTTGGGACAAGTAGCACTAAGTGGCTGGAAAAAGGAAATTGTGCATATAACGAACAGCTGGAAGATCAATTAACACTAATTAGGTCAATTGACAACATGATTGGGTATAAAAAGAGCTTCTCAGAGTGTCAGTGTCTCTCAGAAGCCAAGATGGTAAGAGGATCACCAATTCCACCATTGTTGCGCAGAAAGATAATGCAGCAATACCAGAATGGTGTTACCCAGCGTAAAATAGCAAAGACTTTTAAGTTATCATCATCAACCGTGCATAACATCATCAAAAGATTCAGAGAATCTGGAACAATCGCTGTGCGTAAGGGTCAAGGCCGTAAAACTCTACTGGATGCTCGTGATCTCCGGGCCCTTAAACGTCACTGCACCTCAAACAGGAATGCCACTGTCAAGGAAATAACAGAATGGGCTCAGGAATACTTCCAGAAAGCATTGTCAGTGAACACAATCCACCGTGCCATCCGCCGTTGCCAGCTGAAACTCTACAGTGCAAAGAGGAAGCTATTTCTAAGCAAGCTCCACAAGCTCAGACGTTTGCACTGGGCCAGGGGTCATTTCAAATGGAGTGTGGCAAAATGGAAGACTGTTCTGTGATCAGATGAGTCACGATTTGAAGTTCTTCGTGGAACACTGGGACACCATGTCATCCGGACCAGAGAGGACAAGGATAGCCCAAGTTGTTATCAATGCTCCGTTCAGAAGCCTGTATCACTGATGGTATGGGGTTGCATGAGCGCTTGTGGCATGGGCAGCTTGCATGTCTGAAAAGGCACCATTAATGCAGAGAACTATGTTCAGGTTCTAGAACAACATATGCTCCCATCTAGACGTCATCTCTTTCAGGGAAGACCCTGCATTTTTCAACACGATAATGCCAGACCACATTCTGCAGCAATCACAACATCATGGCTATGTAGGAGAAGGATCCGGGTACTGAAATGGCCAGCCTGCAGTCCAGATCTTTCACCTATAGAGAACATTTGGCACATCATAAAGAGGAAGGTGCGACAAAGAAGGCCCAAGACGATTGAACAGTTAGAGGCCTGTATTAGACATGAATGGGAGAGCATTCCTGTTTCTAAACTTGAAAAACTGGTCTCCTCTGTCCCCAGACGTCTATTGAGTGTTGTTTGAAGAAGGGGGGATGCCACACAGTGGTAAAAATGGACTTGTCCCAACTTTTTTGGGATTTGTTGATGCCATGAAATTTGGAAACAGATTTTTCCCTTAAAATCATACATTCTCTCAGTTTAAACTTTTGATGTGTGATTTGTGTTCTATTCTGAATAAAATATTAGATGTTGGCACCTCCACATCATTGCATTCAGTTTTTATTCACAATTTGTTTAGTGTCCCAACTTTTTTGGAATCCGGTTTGTACTAGTACCAGTGTTTCCATATCTGCAAAAGAGATGACAGCAGAACTGCTAACACTAGTCCTTTTTGTTACTGGTACAACAGCCAGTATTAATCAGTTTTATGTTAGTTTTGGTCAATACTTGAAAGAGCCGCTGGAGGGGGATCAAAGAGCCACATGCGGCTCCTGAGCCGCAGGTTCCAGATCCCCAGACTAGACCACTCCAGGACCTTTTATCTGGTTCTCCAAACCAGTGGAATGTTGCTTCAGGTGTGCTATTAGGAAAGGTAGACCTCTGCTCCTATTTTAAATCTCTGAAAGACTCCCAACAGGTTCCTCCCAAGACTTTTTCTGGATTTACAGGGCAGCTGTGGATGAATGATTAGAGCAGACACTTTGCAATAATATAATGATCTCGGACCTTCCATTCATTAGCTCAAACATAAAACGACAGGAATGCTTTAAAAGCATCAATATCAGCTCCTCTCTGACAGCTTGGTGGGAGTTTCTTAAAATGCCAAAGTCTTCACTAATTCCATGCAGACGTACACCCATCTGGAACAACCAGGTGGACTCAGCCTGGATGTCTTCCTGCCTGGCTGTGGCTGCGGTCTGGTGCTTGGCTAGGGTTCTGGGTTAAAAAAAAAAAAAGAGCAGTCGTCCTCCAATGCAAGAGTTGGGGGTTCAATTCCACCAGCAGTCACATGCTGAAGTGTCACTGGGCAAGACACTGAACCCCCCATTCCCTCTGATGTGTGTCCCATCAGTGTATGAATTCAATTCAATTCAAATTCAATTCAATTCAACCATACTTTATTAATCCCAAAGGGAAATTATTTGTTTTAGTAACTCGTTATCCTCATTTCATTAAGAGATGTTATAGATACTGATGGCTGTAGGCAGGAAGGATCTCTTGTAAAGGTCCATCCCAATGGCTGTAGACAGGAAGGATCTCTTGTAAAGGTCCATCCCACAGTGGATCCTAAGAAACTGGCCGCAGATGCCGTCTGATCCGTCCACCCAGACTCGGCTGGCCTCTTGGTTCCCCTGGGCTGTAGGACCGCCCGAATGCCGGGCAGAACTCCACCCAGAGCGTTGGCCACTCCTCCCAGCAGTCTGCCGAGCTCCTCGTCACTGCGGACAGCCAGCTGTAGGTGCCGAGGGACGATTCTGTCCTTCCGCTGTCATGAGCCTTGTTTCCTGCTAGTTCCAGGATCTCAGTGGTCAGGCACTCGAGCACAGCTGGCAAGTAGATGAGGATGCATCCACAGAACATCCTTTCAACTCATTTGAGATTTGGGATTGTAGTTGAGATATTATTTGAGCTTTTGAGATGTTAATCAGCTGCTGTTGGTTGTAGAAAACTGCCTTGTTGCCATGGTTACGCATCATAACAAATGTCCAAAACTAAAAAAGTTTCAGTAAAAATCTTTCCAGCTGCACAGCATCTGATACCAGAGGAAACAATCATCCAAAAAAATGTGATTTACATCCAGAAAAAGATGAATTATAGTTTCCAAAAGCAAAATCTCAGAATAAAAGTAACAGAGTTGCTCCAACATGCAGCTACCTTGAGCGGCTTAATTCTAGAATATGTGATCATCTGATTATACTTTGTATAGATCTAGTAGAGTGCTGTATGAATGGATAAATGAGGCACAGATTGTAAAGAGCTTTGAGTGTCTTGATAAGATAGAAAGGTGCTATATAAGTACAGTACATTTACCATTCTCCTCCTTGAATTGGCACTCCTTCTTGATTTACCACCTTATCATGGTGGAGAATTTGTGCGCCTGAATGATCCTAGGAGCTATGCTGTCGGGGGCAATTATAATTACCCCTGGTAGGGTCTCCCAAGGCAGATTGGTCCTAGGTGACAGGCCAGACAAAGAGTAATTCAGAAGAGTTTTATGGACAAAACAAAACAAGGAACTCTGTGTCCCTTGCCCAGACGTGGGTTACCGGGGCCCCACCCTGGAGCCAGGCCTGGGGGAGGGACTCATAGGCGAGCGCCTGTTGACCTGGTCTCTGCCCATGGAGCCCGGTCGGGCCCAGCCCGAAGGAGCAGCATGAGTTTGCCTTCCTGTGGACCCACCACCTGCAGG